AAACATAAAAAGCTTTTAAAGTCATAATTTAAAGTAAAAAAAAAAAAAAAAATCTTAAATTACTAAACCATTTCTCTGACAGTTCTCTGGGTTCTTTCAGAGCGGCGCGTTCACGGACCGCTCATCGGCAGATGACAACAAAACACGGCAACCGAGACGGTGTTAGCGTAGTTAGCTACTGGAGATAAATAACTGGTGGTGTAGTCTGTGTGTTACCTAATCACGGCTAGAGTGTTGTCGTGTAGAACTTTATAGAAATACGCGTCGTTTGTGCGACTAAATATGGTTGTCAGATCTTTTCTGTCTTAGTTCTGCCAACGTTAGCTAAGTGGCTCTCAAAGCTAACTCTAAAAATGCAGAGCTTAAACGGGTTAGCTAGCTAGCCTATGTACTAGCTTGTTAGCTAGCCGACACAGGCGAAGACCAAGGAGATGCGAGCCCAGTGAGGTAAGAAAAAATACATAGTTTATTTTGTTGACTGTGAGTAGAATCTCATCCTTAAAGTAATATGCTTATAAACAAGTGACATTAACTGCACACGTCAATAATACATTGTCAAATTTGTCGATACTGTCCCGTATTAGCCTAGGCTAGTTAGCGCAGGTGTAGCTGATTATTATTGACTTAGCTTGCTAGCAGCTGCTTGTGGCGGCCACTTTGACATTACAGTCATGACTACCTGGAAACCACTACGTAATAATAGCAATCGTTTTCTTATTCCTACTAATCATCTGTATAAGCTGAACTGCAAAGACCCCATACGCGCAAATTGTTGACATTAAAACTGATAAAGTAGCATTTTAGTGGGTTTACTTTTTTACAACAACGTTGTAACACTAACAGCTAATTATGTAGCGCTAACTTTATTTTATTACATCTTAATTTGACATTTCTCCAGTAAATTAGTCTGATTTTACAGATACATTTTAGCTCATTTAACTATCTGTTATAAAGGTCGTCTTGAAGTAGATCAACATTTTAGGTAATACCTTTATGGATGTTTAAAACTTGTCATTACCCTAACTGAATGACACGATGACTCAGCTACTGTTAACACAGTAAACACATTTCAAGGATGTCATAAGTTTAAAGTTTTTTTTTTTTGTTAAAGTACATTATATTGTTTTAATTTTTAAATAAAGGTTACAAAAAAATCACTAAACGTAATTTTATTTTCTTATTTAAACAGTGATCATAGCCCAAGTTGTTCAACTATTTGTAATCCAGAGGGGGATTTTTTTTATTCTTCAGTAAATAAAAGCGTAGCAGGCTTCTTAACTAAATTATGTTTTTATATTCAGATCACACAAACATGCTGTTAACATTGCTACCTTTTACCTAAACTGTCTGTGTTTAAAAGAATAAGAATAGTTAAGCAACACACTATACTCTTTTTAAACTTCTTGAACTTTACAAAGCCACCATTGATGTTAAATGAATTTTTGGGACCACATCACAAAGTTAGATATAAACACAAATGAAGAGTGCCAACCTCCTCCCTGCTCTCACCATACATTAGGAGCAAAGGGAGTATAAAGTACATGTTTTTATTTAAACCTCCACAATAACCAAAAGTAGCAAACGCACAACCAAACTACTTTTTTTGTTAACATTATATCTCAAAGATTGCCTGCATTTGTCCATCTCTTAAATTTCAAGTTTGTGAGTATCAAGCTGGAACTAATAGCTCAAATGTGAATAACTCAAGATCACTATTATATTCTTCCACAACAGTGTGCACTTCAGAGATTCGTGGCTTTTAAAATGTCCATCACCTCGAAACTAGTTGAGAAAAGACAGCAAGACAAATGGTTGGGATATAGAATGCTAATGCTTTGTTTGCATTTTTATTGCATATCCCGGTATTTACATGAACAAATAGCTTAACTTAAATAATAGTTTATTCATCATTTATGTCTATTGTCTGCTTGCTGAAGCAGATATTTTCTGCTCAAAGTGAGCTTATTAAAACCTGCTCTTTCACACATTTAAAGTAATTTTTACATTTGATTTATTTCATTGCATACATACGCCTTTAACCCAAAATATTACAACACAAGCTAATTTTTGTGCTATTTTCCCCTCAATATTAATGGCACAAAACCAGTTTTTACACATTTTTTTTTTTGGTGTTGTTAGCAACAATTGACAGTCACAATCACGCTAGCCCAAAACTTATAACTGTTCAGCAGCATCTTTATAGAGTTCAGGGTGTTGTGTTGTTTTGTACTGCCTTAAATCGGTAATGGAACGCATAAAACTTTTTGTGTTGAATAGTTTTAAATCCTGATTTGAGCTTGTAAAAAAATCACTATTAAATTCCATAGATAAACAAAAACACTGTCATTAGCAGCACTGCAGATATTTCTGTATTCTTTCATTTCACATTTTGAATCATGTGTGAATGTTGCAGTTTATAGTAAATAAGCTATTCAGCCTGATTCATTTGCCAAATAATTAATCAGTCCACACTGAGAGGTCTATCTGGCAAATCTTACAACTTTTTGTTGTTGTTTTTCTCTGTTTCATTGCACTCCTTCTGTCTCCACCATGACCCCACACCTTTTTCTGTCCCTCTTTGCTGCCTTACAGTCGCTGTAAAAAGTATTCTGTTTGTGGAGTAAGGCTTAGAGCTGGGGCTGCGGTTATACTTTTATAAGTGCAGTTAAGGCTTAATTGTCAGTTACCATCTTTTTGCTTGTTTACTTTTTGCAGGTCTGCAGAGCGTGACTAAATGAGCAAGACAGGCAAACTGGAAAAACTCTGGGAGGCTCATCATGAAGTTGTATGTGTTCCAGGTCAACAATGGCAGCACATTGACATTTGACACTGACCTTGCTGTTCAAACGTAAGAAATTGGAACTTCCCAATATTATTTAATATTATTCTTCCTCTTTATTTAATATGAATAATTGCTTTCTTTGGCTTAGTGTACTGGAGCTTAAACATGCCATCCAAGCCAAATATAAGATTGCAGTTCAGCTTCAAGTCCTGGTGGTCAATGGAGGGGAATGTATGGCTGCAGACAGACGAGTCTGCAGCTACAGTGCAGGCACTGTAAGTTTGCTTTAACATATTTGCTTTTTATTTTCTTAGAATTTTTGTAGGTTGATGTTTTTATATTCGTGTCTTACTGTGGATTTTTAGGAAACCAACCCCATATTCCTGTTTAACAAAGAGATGATTTTGTCTGACCGGGATCCAACAATCCCCAAAACTACCTTCTCGATTGAAAGCGAGATTCAGTTGAAGGTGGAGGAGTCACTACTGATGCCAGCTGTCTTTCACACCGTTGCCTCGCGAACACAACTTGCTCTGGTAGTTATCAACCTTGCTTTTTCAAGTTTAGATTTTATCGGGACTTGGTTTTTTTTGGTTTGTTTTTTTTAATTGCTTCGAAAGTTTTCTTTATAAATTGAATGTTTGGGAATTTGGGACATCTGACATTGCAGATTCTGGGCTATTGTAGAAAAATTGACAGACAGCAAGAAAGAGAAATGGTATTTAGCAAAATAAGTATCAGTTGTTTTATTTCTAATGTGTATTTTTAAAAAGAGTAAACAAATATATGCGATAGATTATTTTGCTGCAATTTTGACCTTCTATAATCGTTTTTTTTTTTATTTCTCCAGGAAATGTTTGAAGTTGCCAAAAAACTTTGCTCTTTTTGTGAACGTTTGGTTCATGATGAACATCTCCAACATCAAGGCTGGGCAGCCATCATGGCCAATCTGGATGACTGCACCCTGTCTTATCAGAAGTTGCTCATGAAATTCAATACAGCATACACTAATTATCAACACGACCTGGAGGAAATTAAAGTTAAGCTTTCAAAGTAAGTGTAATTTTAAGATTATGATGTGTTGTTCCATTTATTTTTTTTATGGATTTTTGAACAACTTTAAAATGACGTCTTGGAAACACAAGTACTATGTTTGAGGACTAATTAGATTAAAAATGAATTCTCACCTATGCTGTTGTCATGATTGCAGGTTAGGGACTTCAGTTTCTGTCATGGCCAGGATACCTCTGCTGGAATGTTTGACAAGACACAGTTACAGAGAGAGCATAGTGAAGTCCAGTTTAACCCCAGAAAAGGATTCAAATGATACAGAAGAAGAAAAATCCACTGACTCTGTGCTCGGCACTAAAACACCGATGCCCTCCAAGTCATCAGCTTCTTTGTCTGCTTCGGGTACAGCCACATGTGAGCCAGATAGAGATCAGGAGACAAATGAAATGACTGACAGTGGTGGACTAAGAGCTGCACTTTTAGATGATGACACTCCTGAGCTTGCCAGCCAGTCCTCGTTCAATGTTACGCTGCTGGACTGGATCAACGTACAGGACAGACCTAATGATGTGGAATCTGTTGTGAGGAAATGTTTTGACTCCATCAACAGGGTGAGCCAGTGGTGTATAGAATTCTCTACATAGTGTTCTGAAATGCAAAGTTTTAGCTTCTGTTGGGAGAAGTGTGATTTTATGGAGATGTTGTATTTTTCAGCTTGATCCACGGATCATTCAACCTTTCCTGACTGAGTGTCGGGACACAATTGCAAAGCTGGATAATCAGAACATGAAATCCATCAAAGGGCTTGAAGACAGATTGTATGCTCTCGACCAAATGATTGCAAGCTGTAAGAAGTTGGTAAATGAGCAGAAAGAACTTGCTCAGGTATTTTGAGACAAATACTTTAAAATGTTTTTTTCTAATTAAATTTTGTTTTAATTATGCTGGTCTGTTCTTGTTTGCAGGGGTTTTTGGCCAACCAGAAGCGCGCTGAAAACCTGAAGGATACATCTGTTTTGCCTGATCTGTGTCTGAGTCACACCAACCAGCTGATGATCATGCTGAACAACCACAGGAAGCTGTTAGACATTAAAAAGAAGTGCACCACTGCCAAACAAGAACTAGCAAACAACCTTCAAGTCAGACTCAAGTAATTCTGAGTATATTTTCTCTGTTGATATTTCTCGACAGTTTAGTTGCATACATTTTAATTGATACATTTTGTGTTGATGAAGCTTACTTTGATAAACTGTCAGACAAGACAATCCTGTTTGAATTTTATATGATGGTTGTGATTTTAGATGGTGCTGCTACGTGATGCTTCATGCAGATCAGGACGGAGAGAAGCTTCAGGCTCTCCTCAGACTTCTCACAGAGCTAATGGAAAGAGTGAGGGTGGTCGAGGCTCTCAGTACTGTGCCCCAGATGTACTGCTTGGCAGTTGTGGAAGTCGTGAGGAGAAAAATGTTTATGCGCCACTACCGAGAGGTCTGTGCAAATGATCATCGCACACTTTTTGCCTTAATTAAACAGTTTTATTTATATATTTTTTATCCTTTATGGATTTTTGACATTTATTGTAAAAACAATAAACCTGGGAATGCCCCCTTCGGGTCTGGGGAGAGTGTTTGCTTCAGGTGGAGGAGTTCAAGTATCTGGGCAAGTCTTGTTCATGAATGATGATAGGAGGGAGCAGGAGATGGACTGACAGATTGGAGACTCATCCTCAGTAATGAGAGCATTGCTTCGGTCTGTCGTGGTGAAGAGAGACCTGAGATGAAAGGCAAAGCTCTTGATTTATTGGTCTGTCTATGTTCCAACCCTCACCTATGGTCAAGAGGTTTGGATCATGACCGAAAGAACGAGATCCTGGATACAAGCAGCTGAAATGAGCATCCTTCGCAGGGTGGCCAGGCTCAGCCTTAGAGATGGATTAGAGAGGGTGAGGAGCTCAGTTATCTGCAGGGAGCTCGGAGTAGAGCCGCTGCTCCTCCACATCGAAGAGTCAGTTGAGGTGGTTTGGGCATCTGATGAGGATGCCTCCTGGACACCTCCCTTAGAAGTTTTCCAGGCATGTCCCACTGGTAGGAGGCCTCAGAGAAGACCCAGAAGTCTCTGGAGGAATTGTATATTGTCTCTGGCCTGGGAACATCTCGGGAGTTCCCCAGAATGAGCTGAAAAGTGTTGCTGGGGAGAAGGATGTCTGGGCTTCTTTCCTGAACCTGTTGCTTCCACAACCTGATTACGAATAAATAGTAGAAGATGGATGGATGGACGGACGGACAATAAACCTGTTTAGAAATGCATAGTTTGTCACTGTTTGGGATTTTATCGACGTTTATTTTATGTGAAGAATATGGGTGCAGTGTTCGTCATACTCGTGGTACAAAGGCTACTCTATTTTAGGTCTGTGTGGCTTATTCAGTGTTTGCTTACACAGATGTGTTTTTTTTTAATCGAGATATAACAAACAGTACTGTTTAAGTTTAACAATCTTCCTACTCTTAAATATTGTCAAATGGCAAATTTTGCCTCCCAAGTTTTTTATTATGTTTTTTTTCATTATCTTCATAACAATGTAGACCACTATGCATACCTCCAGCTAAAAACTTCTATTTTAGAGGATCATAATCATTACTTTATTTTATGTCATAACGCTTACGGACATTCTTTTCAGTGGGCAAATGCTCTTGTGAAGGATGGGAAACAACTGTATGAAGCAGAGAAGTTCAAAAGGGAATCTTTTGGAAAACTTTTCAGTAAGTGTTTTTAAAATCTCCAGCTCCTGGTTAAATAAAGACTAAAAATTATCTTTAAAATAACTTATTTATTCATTTCAATATTTGACCCATTTTTCTGTATTTTTAGGGACATCTTTCCTCCGGAATCGATTGTTTAAAGGACTTGACTCATGGCCTCCAACTTCATTTTGTGTAAGTGTGAAATTAATGCTTTTAAAGATTGATGTTGATGGTTAGGTGCAATTTGTATCACTTCTGTCATTTTTATAGACGCGAAGGCCCAGAAAGTTTGATGATGAACTTCCAGACATCTCACTTGATGACCTGCAGTACTTGAAATCGTGTTGTCCTGTAGAGGTGCAACCTTTTCTTATGTAAGTTAGTGTCCTCAGTCACTAAAAAGGTTTAGATAAAATCTTGTGTGCATATGTACATAGTATGTACAGTGTGTAGTATTATACGTGCGTACGTACAAACGTACATAAATTCTGTCAGAATATTAATACATTTGTAAAGTACTTGTTTTGTTTTTTGTCTGATTTTTTTATCTTTCGCTTTAGGGTCCCTACGATGTGTGATTTTGAGCCTTTAAATCACCATGTAGAGTCCCTTCATCAACTGGTCCAAGCTGCACAGAGTGTGGATGAAATGTCTCGAACAATTACTGACTTACTAAGTGAACAAAGGGTAATAATTTTTTTTATGGTCTTCATTTGTATTATACTGTTTTGAAGTGCAACATGAACATATACAACTGTGTTAAAAATGTAACTGTTAATTTTCTTTTTCTCAGTTTGCCATTTGCTTGTTGTAGTTTGTGAAACTACGTAACTGGATCAAAAATATTGGCTCATCTCTAACCATGTATATTCTTTTGCTTTGCCTTTCTAGGCATCCTGTTGTCAGAGTGCCCAAAGATCAACAACATTGACTTCACAGTCTGAAAGCAAGCATGGCAGCACAGCATCAATGTTCTCTAAAACACCTCCTTCACTTAGCCTTCAGGGACCCAGCTGCCAGCCTCTACATGTACCAATCCCAGCTTCTTTAGAGGATTTATCTCCAGACAGCATTGATGCACAGACATTTGACTTTGAAACCATAGGCCATCCAAACATGGATCCTGTCCTGCAGCAAGGATCCCTTGACTTGGACTCTCTTGCAGAGAGCCCTGAATCTGACTTCATGTCTGCTGTCAATGAGTTTGTGATTGAAGGGAACTTGGCCAATCCCATCAGTGACCCTACCAGCCCTGAGATGATGGTTGAGTCGCTGTACGCCTCGGTTATTAATGCAATTGACAACAAGCGAATGCAGGACACTACAACACTAGAGAAAGAGAACTCCGTAATTGCTGAGCTCCATAAAGCTGTTGAAAAATACAAATTTGCTGCAGAAGAGTCCCACTCTAACTTAAGAAGTGTAAAAGGTGATCTGTACTACTTAAGAGATCTAGTAGTGAAAGAACAACATGACTTTGGGTTAGCTCTGCTTAGCATGAGTTCAGAAGTGCACACTACTGTAGACCAGATGCACCAAACTCATGAAACTGAGTTAAAAGAGCAGCATCAATGTGAGCTACTAAAAGTTCGGCAGGAGCTTGAGAAGCAAGTTCTTGCACTGACAGAGGAAAACCAAGTAAACCAAAGTATTGTAAGAGACGTGCAACGCGCAATGCTGGAGCTCGAAGGGCTTATGGAGCGCAAAGAGAAAGAACTTACTCAGCTTGAGAATGAAAAAGAGCGATTGGTTGAAAAAGAGAGTGATCTCACTCATCGGCTCAAAAACCTTGAGCAGATTATCGGCAATCAAACAGAAGAGGTCAAGATGCTTTCTGCTTCGAAGGACTCCCTGACCAGCCAGCTTGAAAACCTGCACTTAGAGATTGAACGCAGTCAGCAGAAGATTCGACAGGAGATGGAGGCTGTTGCCCAGTGCCATTTAAAGGAGGTGGAGGATAGAATGAAGCAAGAGCACAAGACTGAAATTGACAGCCTGAATAAGAATAACCAGGTGGCTCTGGAAAATGTTGCTATTGAAAGTAGTACAAAGTTAACTGAGGCAACCGATCACCATGCCGCTGCCATTAAAGAGAAGGAGCTTCAAATCAAGGACTTGGAAGCTCGATGTACAGAGCTTGCAGAACTCCGCTGCAAACTAGAGGTAGAGCTAGCCCTCAAAGACTCCGAGACAGAGGAGGTCAGAATTTTATTTGAAGAAGCCAAGAGTCAACATGCAGAGGCAATAAATACCCAAATTGAGGCTGAGACCAAAGTACTTGGAGATGAGTTGGCAAATCTCAAACAACAGCTTCAAGCAAAAAATGAAGAGTATGAAGTGGACATGGCGGAGCTGAGAACCCTCATGAGGATTGAAAAGGACCACTGCATTTCGGAACTGGTGGACAGGCACGAGGAGGAGGCTGCTCTGTTACACACCAAGGTCTCTACCCTGCAGCAGCAAGCCCAGGATGCTGAAAGAAACCATGCCGAGCAGCAGCAAAGCCTCAAAGAGGAATTACGTCAGCAAGTGGCTGCTCTTAGTGGAGAAAAAGAGAAGCAGTTGAAGAGTTTTCATGACCTGGAGCAGGAGTTGAGGACTGTTATCAACAATTTGCAGGCAGAGAATGAGCTGCACTCTAAAAAACTAGAGCAGGACAAACACGCAATTCAAAAAGATGAAGACAAAGAAGCCGCCTCAGACGTTGTACCACTAGAAGCCTTTAAAGAGTTGGAGCAGCAGAAGGAGAAGATTGAGAAGGAACTTTTAGACAAAATTAAACAACTTGAGAAAGAGGTTCAAGAGAAGTCATCATTAAAAAGGTAAATGATCAGAAATGATCGCTTCACAACGATGAATCTTTTTAGACTAAAATCAGACTGTTCTGGTGCTCGACACTTATACATTTAATGGTACACGCTGATGTTTTGCGCTTTCAGTTTAAATAAAAAAATGTGTTTGCCTTACTAGAGAGAATTAATTTGGCAGAATTAGTTATAACTTTTTTTATTTGTTTGTTTAGTGATGAAGGGTTGTCGCTGCATGCGGAGGGCCGTGCAGATGCAGCAGCACCTCTGTCTCTTGACTCAGCGTTGCAAGAGCGCCTGCAGCAGGAGAGGGCCTCCCTGCTAACTCAGTTAGAACTCCTTGAAAGGAAGAAAAATGAGGAGATGCAGAACCTCAAGACATCCCTGATCGCAGAGCAGCAGGTATGTGTTCAGATTGCAAAAAGTTTTTTACAGGGTTCCCAGCGACTCTGGAAATCGGGGAAAACCTGGAAAATGGCCTTCATATTTTCCAGACAGGGAAAACTCAGGGAATTAGAGAAAAACATAAAAAGATGCTAAGTTCTGAGTAACATGTTTCATGTGACTGAAATATCTCCTGAACTTTCAGGATTTACTCATGGAAAAATCAGGGAAAACTTGGAATTTCATTTTCATGAAATGCTGGGAACCCTGTTAAAACCCTGAGAATCTTCACCAGCACACCTGTTAAAGCACTGTATTAACACGTTACTCTGTTTCAGATTGAAGCAGACAAAACAATTGAGATGGTTTTAATTACTGCAATTTTACTAAAAAAACAAAACTGTCCATTGTAAAATTGAAAGGAAAATGATGTACCATCATCCCTGGAGAAGAAACATAGTTCGGGGGGATCAATCAATCAACATGTATTTATAGAGCCCTTTACAACATCCAAAAGGTGCTCAAAGTGCTTCAGTACCAAGAGTTAAAATAAACAATAAGAACAATAGAAAAATATCAAGAGTGCCACGAAGTATTAAAAACCTGCCTGAATAAACAGCTTTTAAGATTAGATTTAAAAGGAAGGGAAAGGGGATTGTCATCATTGTATGAGAACATACAATGATGACAATTAGTTCCCTGCATTTAACCCATCACACCTGAGATACACCCAGGTGAAGCAGTGGGCAGCTATGTAAGCTCCCAGGGAGCAATTAGGGATTGGGCGTCTTGCTCAGAGACACCACGACATGTGGGAATGGCTGGGAGTCGAACCGCGACTTTCTGGTCCCAAGTCAGCTGCCCTACCTCTACCTCATCTCAGTAAAAAGGCCCAGGTCAGTGATGGAGCACATCATGAGGGAGTTGGTTCCACAGTCTGGGTGTGGGAGCCATAAAGACCGGGTCACCCCAGTGTTTGTATTTGGACTTTGAGACACACAGTAAAGATGTATTAGTTGATCTTAAGGTCTTCTCATACTTACAGAAATCTTGAAATCTGCTAAATAAGGTGGGTTAAGACCATTCAGAGCTGTGAACGTAAACAATAAGAGCTTACAATTCTAAAATGGACTGATATGCTCACCCTAAGTAATAAAATAAAAATAAAACGTGAATGGCTGTGGTTGTTGTAGATGTTGAATACTTCTCTTGTTGGTGTTATATAAACTGAATTGAACTGAATTGAAATCTCGTTGAAATCAAATCTTGAGATGTGCTCGAGTGGAATTAATACATTGGTCCAGTTTGCCAATTGTTAATGTGTATATTTTTTGGATAGAAATATATTTTAACACTGTAAAAATTTAAAATGTTTTTTTTTCTAATTCTAATAATAGGCTGTTTAAATATTAACAAAATATAATCTGGTTTTACTCTCTTTATGTGCTTTGTGTTTTGTAGTATATCTTCTATACAAAAGGACTACTGTGTTTTTTTTTATCATTCTCTCTTGCATTTCCCATCATTTTTTTTAAAACCATGGTTCTGTACAAACTACTGTATTCCAGTTGGTTGTAGTTATCAGTTTGAAGTATTAAGACAATTTGACAAGACAATTTGTATTTGAGGACTATACAAATTGTCTTGTCAAAGGTATTGATGAGCCTCCGTTAACTGATTTCAAACTTCATTTTTTCATTGTTTAGACAAATTTCAACACCGTTCTAACCCGAGAAAAAGTGAAAAAGGAGCAGATTATCAAAGAGCTCACAGAGAAGTTTCAGGATGTTACGCAGCAGCAGGACAAAGACAAAGGTGAGGACTTTGTTGCACATACAGTGTGGTTTGAGAACAGTGTAATAATTTCTTGTGTAAAGTAAAAAGTGTTTTTAAAGCCTGTTACTCATGTTAAAACACTTTTTGGATTAAACAGTACTGGCAAAAGCAGCAATTTTAAACTTAATAACTAATATTTACAATTTCTCCGATTTTCTGCTGCTTAGAGTGATACTTTAGGAATGTAAATACAATTTTATTATGAACTACCTGCCTAAATAATAGTTGAATGAATATTGACACAAATCCTTGTTTACCTGTCTCTGATGTTTACAGCTCTTATAGAAACTCTGTCTGAGGACCGGGCAAGTTTGATGCAGGAAAAGAAACACTTGGAAGAAGAACTTAACCGCCTGCGCAACACTTCACTAGTTACCTCCACCTTCTTTTCCCCCAACCCGTCAGCTCCAGATGCTTCAGAAGCTGGAGCAGCAGCTCGAGCTTTACCAGTTGCTGAGGGTTGTTTTTCTGAGTCCCTGTCTGAGACGGACAGACTGGCCTCTGTGGCAACCATTCGAGATGACGACCATGTCGATTCTGCAGTGGAAGCCAGCATGGTGGCTGTCCAGTAAGCAGCTACTCTTCAATAAACACATTTAAATTTAAGATGTTTTTACAGAGTGTAACCAAATACTTTGTGATGTACTTTTTAAATTTACCATCCTTGTGAAACCAAATAGTCTTGGAGGACTTTGAGTAAGAAAACACATTTACATAAATCGCCTCAACTTGATCAAGCGGACTTTGGGTAGTTAGTACATTTCTTAATACAAACTTTGAAACTAAGATTGGCAGTTTCTGTCTGTATTTAGAGCAGCTTTGTAGCACACATTTAAAACCACAAGATATTTTAGTTGGCTCATATCTAAACAAAAATGTTCTCTGTGAGACAGAATCTTTATTCTGTGTGCAACACATACCTCTGGAATAATAACTGGTTTGACTTTAGGTTTAAGTAGGAATGTAATTTAATATAAACCTATTTTAAACCCAAGGCAATCAAGAAGAGAATGGTTGCACCAGAGAACATTCAGAGAAGCTGGGAGGTTGTCTGGTACAAAGACATGCATTTTGTTTTCTCAGGATGTTGATCCTAAATATATCCACAGTAAAGCAAGCCCGAAAATGTCAGTGTGAATTTTACCTGGGTCATTACAAACTTTGTGTCAGTCGTAGAAACAAATGTTTGTGTTATCGGCGGATTTCAAGCATAAATAGCCAGAAAAAGATGGACAGTGGGACTTTTGACAGTGGAAAGAAAGTAAGCTAGAATCAGACGGTGTAAGTTACTTTTTCTTAGTATTAAGAAGACACAAGATAAAAAAATGTAATGATGCTGTCTTTTTTTTTTTTTTTTGGTTTGTCCTTATATTTTTGCACACATTACATCTATTTCTTTCTTTATTGTAGTGACAGTATGATGTCAGAGGAGAAACAACGGATAATCTTACTGGAGAGGGTAAATACACAAAATGCATCTATGTCATTGCGATCACATGAAAATCGTTTTATTTAATGTCAGTAACTTTAATCTGCTTAATATTTGTTGCAGACTTTGCACATGAAGGAAGAAGAAAACAAGCGCCTCAGTCAAAGACTGGTCAGTGAATCCTCTCCATTAGAGGATGTTTATTAAATGTTTCCACTAGATGGCAGTAGTATCAAAGAATGAAATCCTGCTGTGGAGACCAAAATCACAAAAAAGTTTTTGAAACTGCTTTACAATGTGAGAAGTGATAAACTATATTAAGGCATTAACTATGAGTATAAATCCTAAAATTGTTAATTTTTCTGTTGGAAAAATTAAAAATCACATTTAAAAACATTGTCAGCATTTACAAAGTTAGACTTAAGTGTAGCGCTTAATATTGTAAATGTAAAAATATGAACCACAAAGTCTGGCTTTTTACATTTAAAGATCAATGTTAGGAAAAGTTATTTTGAAAGTCATTTAATATCAATGTAGTACAGTAAAAGTAACGTTGACCTAATTAATTTCTTTGCAGATGTCTCAGAGCATGTCGTCCGTGTCATCACGGCATTCAGACAAAATCGCCATCAGAGAGTAAGTGAATAATAAAATAGCACATGGCATTAGCATGTCCTCACCATTTTGAGTTTTAGCAATTTTGTTTTCAGCTGAAACTGACCATCATTACACGCGGTGTAATTATACACATTATTATTATATCATTACCACGACAGTGTTGTTTGCACTTTACAGAACTTGGTGTCATCATGCCTTTGTCTCTTTGTGCACCTTTTTATGTTTCAGTTTCCAGGTTGGCGATTTAGTTCTAATCATCCTGGATGAAAGGCATGACAACTACGTGCTGTTCACAGTTGGTCCCACCCTCTACTTTCTCCACTCCGAGTCCCTCACTGCACTGGACCTCAAACCAGGTCAGACATTTTCAAAACCTTTTAAAATCATCATTGGAGCTGTAGTTTGGAATTTTATTTTATGATTTATTAAGAAAATAGATAAGTAACATAAAGAAATAGCACTCGTATTAGGATTTATAAGAAAGGCATCAGTGCACATAGATCATAACCATTGAGAGTCTAAATGTTTGATGTGTAACGTGAATATTTTGTTTTTATGTAAAGCATCAGGGACTGCAAGACGCCCGTGGGTTCTTGGAAAGGTGATGGAGAAGGAATATTGCCAGGCAAAAAAGGTGCTTTTAACTTTTAAAATGTTCCCTGCTGATGTACTGATTGTTAAAAAAGCCATTTACTTGGTCAGCTAGTTTCATTTTTTTAAAACTAACTACATTCTTACTTACAAAGCTTTATCTTTTATCTTGTTTCTTTGTTGTTTTTTTTTCTCTCTACAGGCCCAGAACAGGTTCAAGGTTCCTTTGGGAACCAAGTTCTACAGAGTTAAAGCCGTTTCCTGGAACAGAAAAGTATAATACCTAATTAATGAGCTAAAGTGTATATTTATTTTGTTTTATTTTCAAACAGAAACTTCACATTTCCTACATTTTACTTCAAAACACATTACTAATGGCAAGATGGAACATCATGCCATTTTTCTGTTCAAAAATATACATTATTATAATTATTATTATTATTATCATCACGTTTTTGTTTTCTTATAAACCCAGATTTGTTACTGTGGACCAAATGCTATTAATCCTCTCAGGGCGCTGCCTCTACACTGTGGCATTATGCCCTTTGATTTGTGTGTGGAACTGAACAAAATTTGGATGTTAAATATTAGTTCTCATTATCAGCATTTGTCCTTTTGTGGTAAATAATGTAATTATCAACATAAATACATTTAAAAAAACATTTATAATAAACATTAATGGAGGAATGTTCATGGCATGCATATTGAAGTTTTAATTTACTTATCAGATAAATGTTGTAGTTGAAATGTAGTTATGCTGTATGTTACTCACAATCAGTATGACTGTCAATACTGAAATGTACATGATGACTGACTGAAGGAAGCAGTCAGCTTTGCAATCCTTGAAATGCACTTTGAAAACAATGCTTTTATTAATTTGAAAAGGGAATTTAATTGAGCTGTCAGAACTAGGTAAATATATCAGAACAAACTTCTCATTATTATATAATATTGACATGTAGAAAGGAAAACATTGTGGCTGTGTGTCATGATCGGGAGACGTTGTATATTACTCATTAAAAAAACATGTAACAATAAATGACTGTAATGTAAAGGATAGAGTTTTGAAACAATAAAGGATTGATCCCCATATTTTTTCTGTATTTGTTTCCTTGTGTGATGTTAATATTAAGGGATTCTATGTCACAAATAACAAAAAATATATAGTTTCTTAAAAATGAAACTATTAATTTTTTAAACAGGCAAATCCCACTGAGATCACAGGTCTGTGTTGCAAGGGGGCCCTGAAGGCAGCCTAACAGGCATGTTCTGGGACTGTGGGAGGAAACCCACGCAAACGCCACACAGAAGGACCCAATGTGCAAACCAGGGATTGAACCCATGCCCCTCTTTCTGTGAGGCAGCAGTGCTAACCACTAATCCATCACGCCGGAAACAATGGTGAAACATTCTTTTTGTTTGTGGATAAAGCTGGTTTAATTAAAAAATAAATTATTTTGTTCCAGGATATATTTTTTTCACTTGAATCAAACAATTTTCTTTTTTAGTTTTGAGAGTTACATTTTATTTAAGATGATCAACACCAAACGGGAACAATTGCACTGAAAGTCGATGTAAAATTGTGCAGTGTATTGTGTTCATTTGATGTAGCTTTTTTTTTTTTTTTTGCTTTTGTGGAAATCTAAATGTTGGCACTCCGCTGCAGGAAACAGACTTCAAAAAGGCTTCAAATCGGGGCCCAAGAATGATGCGGCCCTCATGGAGGAGGGAGCCCACCAACATCACTTTCCCAGTTCACAGCGGGGAGCATAGCAGCTCTCTGCCGAGCACTCTCTACCATGTGGGTCTAGGGGTGTTTTAACAATGTTTAGCTCTATTTTCTCCATTTAGCATAAGCCTGTTGTCACATTTGGATGGCTCCTTCATAAATTGATGGTGTGATTCCTACAATTTCGGGACAGGCCTGAACGACAAAATATGCAACACAACATTCGATACCGAGGTGGCTGGCAAGCACCAACCATGTGCACTGGACAGGCTCTTAGTGTAAATGTTTACAACCCCCCACTGAGCACAGTGCTGCTGGGAGTCGGTCTCATCAGGCTGAATGAGATGTACCATTGCCATGTGTGGTCTGCTGCTACTTCCACTATTTAAACTGCATTTGACTCCGTGCCTGACTTCTCTTAGATTTTACTACTTCTTCTCATAACAGTTGTTCAGCAGCATGCATGAACATTTGCAATGCTCTGTATGGTTTTGAAATTTTTTCCTGGTTATCCAAAGTAGGATAATATTTGTAACCAGTAAATGTTTCTGTTTCCTGCTAAAGACCATTAGAAGAATCAAATAAATCAACACTTTTAAAAACTTTTCTACAGGGAGGAAAAAGAAAACTGCAAATTTCTGGTTAAAACATGCATATCTAAGTCAAAAGAAATATTACCAATATTGTTGAAAAAGTAAACGGATTTAAAATAGGAATTAAAAAAAGACAATTTTAGGCATCTATTTTAATGCATGGTACCACTTTATAATAAGGCTCTCCTTATAGATGGCAAATAAATAGTTTAATTCCTCTATAAACACATTATAAATCATTAATAACTGCTTATTATGCATTCATTAAGGGTAACAGAGACAAAACTGACCAGTTGCTTGCCAAATAGTGAGTCAAGTCTGTTCACCTATATTTCATCTAGAGTTGTTATATTAAAAAATCAGACTAAGTTACTACCTTGTAAGCACAATAAGCATTTGTGAACCTCTTTTTTTAGCATATTAGTTGTAGATACTTATAATGCATTGATAAAGTACAATGTTATATGCTAAGGAAATAGGTTTACAAATGCTTATTGTGCTTACAAGGTAGTAACTTAGTCTGAAATGTTTAATATAACAACTCTAGTTGAAATATATAGGTGAACACATTTGACTCAGTATTTGGCAAGAAACTGGTCAGGTTGGTCTCTGTCACACTTAATTAATGCATAATAAGCCGCTATTAATGATTTATAAAGTGTTCATAGATGAATTAATAACATATCTATAAACTATTTATTAGCCATCTAGGGGAGCCTTATTGTTAAGTGGTACACACATTTAAAAAATAAAAGCCTTAATTAGGACTTTAGGCATATGTTTATTTAAAGTTGAAATAAATGCAAGGCATACTCCTAAAAAGTCTTTAAAAACAATACAGTACCTCTGTAAAAACTTAATATGATCATTATAGTGCAATGTTGAAGTCTTTTCCTAATATTCGTTACAATTTCCATGAAGTTTTTAAACGCAGGAGTTTAGATCTGTCAAATATCAGGATGAGTATAAACACCTTAAACTGAAACACAAAGGCACGATGAAATAGCTTTTCTTTGGATGTCAACACATGCTAGCGGGACCAAATTAAGATTTAGATGAGTAAATGTGGAATATCTAACCACTATTCCCAAAGAATGTCTTAAAGCCTGATCGTGCCCTTTGTTGCTGACATAATATGTATTTGAAGAAAACACACAAGTTGTATTTGATCTGCCTAAAATCTCTGACAGCATCCTCGATGTAGATGGTGCCACAAATAAACAAGCATTATTTGCAGGGTGAATTTATGCAGGAACTTCAAATGATGGAATAAATAAAAATAAATAGGGAAGCCTTAACGCAACATTTATATTTTTGAAATCTAAATGGAGCGAGTGTGTTGAAGAGGAGCCAAGAGGCATTAAGGGCTGAAACTGCAAACCAAGGAGGAAATCGACTTAATGCCATCACATTTCCACCCTATTCATGCCAAAGAAAAGGGTTGGGGAAAGAGATTAGGTTATATATCTGCTGTCAGGGACTGAAGAGACCAAGTGGAGAACTTCACCTAAACAGAACGATGATCAAACAGACATGCTTTAACAGACATGCTTCATAATCTCATCCCGTATTGTCCCCTCGCTGCCTTGACTACAGGTTCAGCAGCAAATCGGAGACAGGGGCAGATTAAACGTGTGATGAAATGTCTGAGAAATATGTGAGGATGCGCAATATAAGAAAGGCTGATTTCCTACCCACATGGCAAACATAATCACTATTAGTAACACACATCTACATAAATATGATAATTCAAAATTTAAACACATTTATTGGGCTGATATTGGAAATCGGAACTATCTGATGGCATAGTTTTATGGATAATTACCGCCACGGAGATAATGCAGCGTGTGAAAGGAAAGCTTTGAGGTATCGCCACTCGTTGGGAAGAGAGTGCGTAGGTTTTAGTGGTGTATCCGAGATGTACCCAAAAGGCAAATGGGTGGAAAGTTTGGTGACAAGCATCCAGGCGTGCAGTTAACAAGATTGCATCTGGTGAGCAGAAAGTAGGATGCAGGCTGTACTACTTGTTTGAAGGGAAAATTGTTTTCACAGTAAGTTCAATGGCATCAGTAATCCATCCAAATATAGACAGAACTATTTTGTTTTCAGTAGAAAATAATTATTCAAATACCCTATATTGCAAATCCCCTTAATTTAGTGCATGACAGATTTTTTTAATTCCTACTACAGAACAACAACGACAAAAAAACAGAAAGAAAAAAAAAATCCAGCAAACGTTAAAATCTGTTGTTTTATTTTGGTAATCTGGCTGCTTACTGACAAGAAAATAATCAATACAAAAGAGTTTGTGAAGTGTCTGAAAATAGATGGGGCGATTTAAACTGTAACTAACAGCCATGCATTGCTCAGCTGCAGTGCAGTGTTGAGGAAATGACACCGGCTTTGATGGGCTGTATAGCTTTTGAGATGAGCCTCTTTATGCCGCTTGCAGTTCCATTATGGCTTTGTTCGAAAGCTTGTTTACCTGCTGATAACATACACTGGTGGATTCAGGAGCACCGATCCAAAATCTGCTGCCAAAGTCACTCAAGTCTCATTGTACCGCGGGAAGGGAAGAATGAAATGTTTATGCGGAGGGGAATGCAAATGCTAAATGTGAAATCAAACTATGGGACCAATAAGGGATCAGAATAAGTTTGCCAGGCTTTATTTTTAGCCCAGTTGCAATGCTGGCTTTGTGGAACACTTCACTTTAGCCTCTGTGCGCTTAGGTTTTACTCAGAGGTGCTGTTCCAGTTCAACAAAAAGGCAAAAACTCTGCAATCATTTAAGAGAAAGAAAGTAGGTTCAACAGAACACCCCATCCTGCTGCACGTGGAGCAAACTAAGAGTTTCATATCAAATCACCAGCGCATCGTTGTACATCGCTAACATGCTTTTTTGGATTTTGTCTGCTAAGAAAAACTCACAGGTCAAAGGAATCTCCCCTTCGTTTGCACATTAAAGTGCATTTGCTAGACCCCTGTTAGCCACGCATCCCCATGCAGGCAGGTCTCCAGGGGGCCAGCATGGCCCCACAGACGGGCAACTAGGGGGCCAGGTGACCCTGTCTCCGAGGTTAGCAGGAAACACTAAAGAGGGATGGGCCGGGGAGCTGAGGAGCCACTGAGTGCGAGTGTGCAAGGCTGGTGATGGCAGCTGTCAATGGTTTGGAAGGAGAAGCAGACAGATTGTGCGTTCTGTTGGTGCAGCCAGTTCGCCACCTGGCAGGCTTTTCCTTGTTAGAACTTCTTGCTGTTTCTGTTCTCATCAGAGAATTTTTTTCTTCCTCTTATCCTCTATGTTCAGGGGAAGTTAAATTTGTTAGAATGTCTAACGATGTTTAATTAAATGGTTCACGGTGTTCTCTGTGCATTAAGACCAAATGTATTTACAACCAAAATAATTTCAACTGATTTAATTACTGGTATAAATTGTTCATCTTACGTTGCAATAACCAGGTTTCCTTTAAGAATACGTGATGGATTTGCTTAAAGAAATAACTTTCAAATCCCATCATAGCCATAAATTCTGCTTCATGTTGTTCAGTTGTTGTGGAAAAAAAAAATTGCAAAGAGAAAGCATAAACAGCTTAAAAGTACATTTCAAAAATCACATTTGGCAGTCAGTCCTTGTTCCAACAGGATTAAAAAAAAAAAAAGTATTTCATTTGATATAAATATATGCAAAGAGAGTGGTGTGGTGATCTGGGTGCCAGAGGTGCCGCTTTACTCTGGATATTCTGGCTTGGGCCTGTAAGGG